CCCGTCTTTCTGTATCATGGTCGTAGATCACGTAACCCAGTTAGGCATCTTCCGTTCGAAAGAGATATGGTTGGAAATATGCAGATATTTCCATATGTAAAACCGTATCTATTTCGAATTGTCCACATTTTTTGGACAGCCCGCGGATGCGTAGGTGGGGTTAGTTTCCATGGTCTGCTCCCTATTGTTCTTCGGATACACACTCTCCCTGGCAGGACGTGTATTTGGAGAACAGCGGGGAGGTGCTGCCAAAATTCTATCTCGGATAGGAGTAGAGCATGTAAACTAACCTCATCTACGGATCCTCGCATGGGATTAGGACATATCCTTACCTATTAGATAGTAGGAATATTGTGTAGATGCAATTGATGTTTATATTACTCGCCGCTATATATGTTAGAGGATGGAGGACCGTGAGTGGATGTACATGGGCCACGCAAGTTAGGGTCAGGTCACTAATGAATGGATCAACAAGGCTGATGCTTTCTTGGAACAGGCATTTGGCATGGCTGCTAAAGGAGCGAGTAAAATTTGCTATCCCTGCAGCAAATGTGCAAACAGGAAAAGACAAACGAAGAAGGTCATGGGGGAACATCTTTGGAAGAATGGATTTACGGCAGACTATACCAGGTGGGTCTACCATGGTGAAGCCGATCGTATGAGAGTGGAGGTGGTGAGACCACGCGTCGAGGATTATGATGCTGATGCCGGGGTAGCAGACATGTTAAATTACTATCACGAGGCACAGTTCGCTGAAGGATGTACGGAGGAGGAGCTAGAGGCAACCGCAAAGGCGTTCTATGACATGTTTGCCGTGGCACAGAAACCCCTTCACGGCCAGACAAAGGTTTCTCAACTGGATGCCATTGGACCCATAATGGTGTTAAAGTCCTAGTATAGCCTGAGTTGAGACGCCTTCGATGGTATGTTGACAGTTATTGGCAGCCTGCTTCCGGAGGGTCACCTTCTGCCAAAGAGCATGCACGAGTCATAGAAACTCCTTCGTGCACATAAGATGTCGTATGAGCAGATACATGCTTGCCTGAAGGGGTGCGTCCTATTTAGGAAAGAATACGTGGAAGCAAAGTACTATCCAAAGTGTAAATCCTCTAGGTTCCTAGAGGTAGATTCTGGTGATGGCCAGAAGAGGCAGCTTGACATTCCCGTGACAATCCTATGGAACCTTCTGTTCATACCGAGGATCCAACGGCTACACATAACCGAGGAATCCATAAAACAGATGACATGGCACAAAAATGGCAAACGATACAATCCTGATAGGATGGTACATGCATCCGATGGTGAAGCATGGACCCACTTTAATGGCATTCATCATGAGAAAGCTAAAGAGGCTCGTAATGTACGTGTTGCGCTGGCAACAGATGGGTTCAATCCTTATGGAATGATGGCGGCCCCATACACATGTTGGCCCGTGTTCGTTATCCCCCTCAATCTCCCCCCCGGCGTATGCTTTCAACGACAGAATGTATTCTTGTCGTTGATAATTCCTGGACACCTAGGGAATAATATGGGTGTGTTTATGGAGCCTGTGATTGATGAATTGGTCCATGCTTGGAAGGAAGGGGTATGGACATACGACCGAGCTACAAAGAAAAACTTCAAAATGCATGTTTGGTACCACTACTCCCTGTATGACTTCCTGGCGTATGGGATATTCTGCGCCTGGTGTGTTCATGGGAAGTTCCCATGCCCAATATGCAAGGAAGGTCTGAGGTTCATTTGGTTGCAGAAGGGTGGTAAGTATTCATCGTTCGACAAACATCAGCAATTCCTCCCTATTGACCATGCATTCAGACGAGATATCAAGAACTTTACGAAAGGTGTCGTAGTGATAGACCCTGCACCACTGATAATGACTGGTGCCACGGTTCGTGAATAGATAGATGGTCTCGTGGTCAATCCAGAAGGTGGTTTTGTGGGATATGGAGAGCAACATATGTGGACTCATAAGTCGGGCTTGACTCGGCTCCCTTATTTTGATGACATTCTCCTTCCACACAACATTGATGTAATGCACATCGAAAAGAATGTCGCCGAGGCACTTTGGGCAACAATCATGGACGTTCCTGACAAGTCAAAGGACAACGTTAAGGCTAGAGTGGATCTGGCAACGTTATGTGATATACCAAACCAACATATGAAGCCTCCTAGTGGCGGCAAGACATGGAGAAGGCCTAAGGCCGATTTTGTGTTGAGTTGAGCAAGCCCTAAAGGAAGGAAGTACTAGAATGGATCCAGACATTAATGTTCCCTGATGGGTATGCAACTAATCTGAGGAGGGGAGTGAACTTATCTACTATGCGAGTCTTAGGGATGAAGAGTCATGACTACCACATATGGATTGAGCGGCTTCTTTCGGCGATGGTTCGAGGCCATGTCCCTAAGCATGTCTGGCTAGTGCTGGCAGAGTTGAGCTATTTCTTTCGCCAGCTTTGTGCCAAGGAGTTATCTCGGACCGTGATTGCTGACTTGGAAAGAATTTCACCTATGTTGCTCTATAAGTTAGAGAAGATCTTTCCACCCGGCTTCTTCAATCCGATGCAGCATTTGATTTTGCACCTCTCGTATGAGGCACGAATGGGGGGGCGTGCAGGGCCATTGGTGCTATCCAATCGAGAGATGTTTAAAGGTTCTTCGAAAGAAATATAGAAATAAATGCAAAATTGAGACTTCCATTGCAGAGGCATACATTCTGGAGGAGGTGGCGAACTTCACAACAACATACTATGGTGACAACCTCCCTAGCGTGCATAATCCACCCCCTCGTTACAATGCTGGCGAAAATGAATCAAACCTCAGCCTTTTTCGAGGGCAACTCAGAAGCGCAAGTGCATCGACCCCCAAGACCTTGAATCATGAAGAGTGGCGCCATATCATGCTATACGTGTTGACCAACCTTGATGAAGTGGCGTCGTACATGCAGTAAGTTCTCAATGAACTTGTTAAATACGCCGTCACTATTATGCATCCAACCCCCTTGTTTCTCGTTGGTACAGGGAATTTCTTCATGAATTCTGGCGTCAATCAAGGGATCCTACCCCAGTAGCAGGTAGATACCCTTCTTAGATAGGGTGCGGGAAATGGAATGTCTGATTTCATTTCTTGGTTCAAACGGAAGATACCGTCCAATTTAGCTCGTACTTAGTTTGACATTCCAAGTTACTCGTACGTGACAATAATATAACGATGTATCCTGCTTGAGCTTGCAGGGCCAGAGGGATGCGTCTATGTGTGCCGAGTTGAGACAGGTTGCCGATGGCTTTGTCTAAAGGGTCAGGTCATTTTCTGGTTATGACGTGAATGGATATCGCTTTCGCACAACAAGCTACGAGCAGAGTCGGCCCAATCGTAGAACCACAAGTTCTGAAGTTTTTACGCCCGGCGTTGATGAGGTCGAGTATTATGGAAGAATTGAAGAAATATACGAACTCAAGTTTCATGGTTCCAAACCTTTTAATCCCGTCATATTCAAATGCCATTGGTTTGATCCTGAAGTAACGAGACAGACATATTTTAATCTTGGTCTAATCGAAATTCGATAGGATTCCATCTTACCAGGAGACAATGTCTATATTGTGGCCCAACAGGCCATGCAAGTTTATTATCTCCCATATGCGTGTCAAACCATAAGGCATCTTAAGGGTTGGGATATTGTGCACAGGGTATCGCCACACGGTAAAGTACCTATCCCAAACGATGAAGATTACAACTTAGACCCAAACACATATGACGAAGAGTTTTTTCAAGAAGAGGGACTAGAAGGGAGGTTTGAGATAGACTTAACCGAAGCGATCGGAATGGAAGTAGACAATGAAACGGTTATTGAAGAGGACGCTGGAGATGAGGTGCAAAATGTGAAGGACTTACATATGCTTGAGCGATTACATTTAGACAATGACAATGACAACATTGCTCATTCGGATAGTGTTGATTATTTCGACATGATTGATAGTGATGATGAGACTTATGATCTAGCTAATCCCGATCATGAAGATTATTTCTAATACATGTAATACTATGTTATTTTGTAATTACGTTTTGTTTATTTTGCATCTCTTTCTAAGTACTTATTGTTTATCTGTGCTTATTGGTTTACTCTTTTTAATTGCAAGTGATTGAACAAAGATGGTGGAGCACTTGGATTACTTGTGAACTTATTTGTGATATATTGTGAGACATGTGACATTTGTGATATATATATGTGACGTTTGTGATATATATGTGGTGTTGGTGATATATATGTGTTGTTGATGATATATATGTGATGTTGGTGATATTTGTTATATATAACTTCTGTTTGTTTGGATGGGATACAAAAAACAAATAAAACAGGTTGTTTTCAGTCACTTTGCCGAGTGCAATGGTCATGACACTCGGCAAAGTGACTACCTAGGAACTATCTAGGAACATGCTTTGTCGAGTGCAATGGCCATTGCACTCAGCAAAGATCAGAGATTTGTCGAGTGCCATGGGCCAGGTACTCAACAAACATCACATGCTTTACCGAGTGTCTTGCCTGCGGCACTCGGCAAAGTGACCACCTTTACCGAGTGTCTAAGTCAACGGCACTCGGCAAAGTGAGGACCTTTGCCGAGTGCTTGACCTTGACACTCGGCAAAGCCGCCGTCACGGCCACTTTTCTTTGCCGAGTGTCGGATTGGCACCGATAAAGTGCACTCGACAAAGAGGTCTTTGCCGATAAACTGTTTACCGAGCGCTCTTTGCCGAGTGTAACACTTGGCAAAGACTTTGCCGAGTGTATATCGGCCTTTGCCGAGTGCCTGAGGCACTCGGCAAAGAAGCCGCCTCCGGTAGTGGCTGCCGCCGCAATGTCGTCGGCGTTGCCATTGGATATGAGGCTGGTGTGGAACTGCAAACATATAGGAGTACAAAGTTGCATATGCATATGTGACAGATCATACATACGATCAACAAAAGTATACAGAGACATGCAGCCACACTAGCCATAGCCAAACAACCTGTGGTGCGACCATGATGAAGCCAAAGGAGGCAACGTGCTTGAGGAGCTGCTCATAGTAGCGGTTCTGGAGGAAGAAGCCATGCAGGAGGATGGCGACGGGGTAGGTGCCGGCATCATCCTTGGGAGCAGCGATCAGGATGGGGATCGGCGGCGTTGGCCGGGCATCGTGATCCACTGAGATCACCTCGACGGCAAGCTTCCCTGGCTGGAACACCGACGTGACCACCGCAGCAGCAGGCTCATCAAGGACCTGGGGCGTCGTGGCCATGGTCTCCACCGGTGCTGCCATCTTGTAGCTAGTATCTCTCGCTCTCTCTCAGTTGCTGGTAAGGCCGGGCTTTGTGTTGGTTGCTGATGAGAAGAGAGGATGATGAAGCTAGGTGGCAGATTTATAGAGCCGGCCGGCCGGCCCGGCGCGGCGTGGGTGCGAGCCTACGAGGAGGGTGGGTAAAGTGGCTTTGAGACTTTGAGTAGTCTGCTGCTCTACGAATTGTTGGCGCTAGCAGCTCTTGCTTGGACCGCCTTGCATGCCTAGGAATTCCTGAGTGACAAGTGTCAAGAACACGTTGGGGCAACATAGTAGGGCACGTTTTCGTCATGCGTCCACGTACGATGCAACGATCCTACAGTACAAAGGTCGCAATATTGGTCGGGGTTTTGTCTTATTATGTCATTTTCTTCAAACTACTGTACAATATTAACTCATCGTTCAAAACTAGTCGCATCTCCATGCTCTCTCTCTCTCTCTCTCTCTCTCTCTCTGCATTCTAATGTAGTGTGGCAAAGCTTCACTGTCATTAACTCGTCATCTTCATCTTATTCCTTCATCATCCTCCACAACTAAGGTCATGATATCATCAGTAGTGGTGGCGGCATGGCCAAACTAGTGCTTCTTAGGCAACTGAGATGTGACTTTAAGTAGCTCTGCTCTGTGAACACGCTGGGGCAACAAAGTAGGGCACATTTTTGTCGGGTACGACGCAATGGTCCTACAACGGTTGTAATATTCCTTTTTTTTGATAGGGTAATATTCCTTTTTTGGGTGTGTGTGTGTGTGTGGGGTCATCTCCTTTCATTTTCTTCAATTCCAAGCCACCGTATTACCTTTCAAAGAAAAAAGCCATGATATCAACTTCTAGGGCCATATAATGCAACATGTCCTCTTTCGTTTAGACTCCAAGACAATTAGAGTGTGTTTCGAGGAGCTCCCGGCCGCTCCGGCTCCGCGCGACTGTAGGGTACTATGTCGGAACATTAAAACATGGCTCTCACAACAACTGCTCATTCCCCGTTCATTTGTGCTGGAGACAGCCATTTTTCTATAGCTATAGTGAACAACAGTATTGCACACTAGCTAGATGGAGGAGCCAGAGCATCTTTGAAGCCGAACCAAACAAGGCCTTAATTAGGATACATAGTGTTATGGCATCTATTATATCATACCAAACAACTCCAACCCTAATATTACTTTTTTGTCACCTACTAATGCATTTATACTCGAAGGATTCATTACCACGTATACTACCTTGTAGTAAAATATACTTATTATTTATTATTGCAGCAAATGTTTATGATCTCAAGGGTATAATTATAGGCCATCCTTATGCTTGCTGCATACTGCTCCCTTCTCAAATTGTGGCGGCGGATGGCCCGTTTGCGTAAAGTGTTTCTGCTACCAAAAAAAACATAACACTAACCAAACGGATAGAAAGAAGCTGCTTTTATAGAAATAGGTGTTTTGGTGCACTACAATTTCACAGCACCTTAGACCCTATTTTGGGCTTTTAACTTTTATAGCTTTTCAAAATGGGTAAAAATAGGGAGACTTTTTACAACCGTTTTAAGAGAGATAAAGAGAGGGTGTAGGGTTTATAGTTGTTTTAACCAAACAACTTGTAACTTATCCACATTACATAGCTCACAACTATGTTTTATTGCTCATGTCTCACACCAGTTTTTTCATAGCTGACAGTATCTCTTTGGCCCCAATTGGTCTCCAATACCAAATTTTGACTGCATCTTTTTAATTACATTGTCATAACTATAAACTTGACATCATATGAAACTACTTTTAAATATGAATCTAGCGGCAGCACTAAATGTGTAATAGCATATTTTTTTGTAAATCTTGGGAATGAATACGAGAACAACGTATCTAATAAAAAAGAAAAAAAAGAAATGGGAGGAAGTGTGTTTCAAGACTTGTCGGCTCGTCCTTGGGCCACAGAACAGCAAGGTCCAAGGGTCATTCATGAGTTAAGATGTGTTCTAAGAGTGCAACCATAAGGTCTGTCCTCGCTCAATGTTCCCGCGCATGTTCAACGGATAATAACCAACTTGTTTTCAAGGTTTTTCATGCTCAACAAGGTGACCTTAATTTGCCTCTTAGCCCACCGCGTTTCAGCAAGCTGTTGGCTGCTGGTGTTGTCAGTTGTCAGAAGCAAATTCCATATCAGTCAGTCAATCCAGTCGTGATCAACGGACATTCTTCAGCAGCCGGGTTTCTGTTCATCGGTGAACGGCACCAACCCAACCTTGGGATGACGACACACTTCTTTCCACAAGTCAGGCCCGCGGGCCTGGCCCAACATATAGCTCACCGCGGTCGTCTCGTCACACCGATTTGTTACAGTACGTCAGATTTGCACATCACTGTCGGTATCATCACTGTCGGATTTGTGAGAACCGACAGTCATGCACCTTCACTACCGGTTATGAGCTTGAAAATGAAAAAATGATTGGGGCTGGGCTAAAACTGACAGTGAAGGACCACATCACTGCCGATTTGTGGCTTGAACCGACAATGTTTTGGCGGCCACTCATCACTGCCGGTTTAAGCCAAGAGCCGACAGTGATTGGGCTCTATCACTATCGGTTCTAGCCAAGAACCGACGGTGATAAGCCTACAACACAAAAAGGCTGCAGCCGTCCTCTCCTTCCTCCTCTCTTTCATCTCGAGAACAGAGGCGCTGTTTGTATCATTTCCTCCATTGTTGCAGCTGCTCTTCACCATGAAGCTAGTGCTTGGATTTTGAAGAATGGCTTGATCTTTTTCTTTAAGGTTAGTAACAAACATCCACTCCTTTGATTTTGTTGCTTAATTAGCTTCGTATTGATGGCTACATTGTTTGATTCTCATTTTAGTTCTTTCTCCATTCTAGAGAGCACTTTTCCAATTGGATATTTGTGCAAGGCTCAAATTATGATGAATTCATCATCCAAACGGTTGGTGTCTATGAACACATTTAAATTTCTAGCTAATTATTCCATGGTGGTCAAGATCATCATTGTTAGTATGTGATGCTATAATTAGTTCTTAGAAGTAGAGTAGAATAGATGTTCTTCATTATTGCGCAATAATTGTTTTTACTATGATTTTCAATTTACAGGGCCGGGGCTACCAATTTCAATTTTCCAATAATTAGTGTACAATAATGTTTTCCAAAAATGATACTTTCGAGCTACAATTGTTGTTCATGAAGCTCGATTTCTTATTAATTCTTTGTAATTACTGTCTCAGTATTTTTTTTGTGCAGAGATAGATCGAGAGTGGATGCATCTGTCCCGAACGGACAAGCGGTACATGCATGGCGTCAGCCAGTTTATCACCGATGTCAAAGCCCATGCTGGGAATGGGAACCCTGTCTTCTGCCCATGCAAAGATTGCAAAAATTATAGGAACTTTCATCAAATTGAGTCTATATGATCGTACTTGATTACCAGGGGGTTCATGCCAAACTATACGATATGGACTATGCATAGCGAGGTTGGTGTGAATGTTCTGCAGGAAAACGATGATGACATGGACATGCTTGACGTAGCCATCCACGATGCTGACGAGGAACCCGATGTCAATACGGAACCTATGACCACAGTTAATAATGTGTTTAGGAACACGCTAGCTGACGACACCGAGGATAACGATGGCATTTCTCAGCTGCTACGTAATGTAGAGACCGGATGTCTTAGTGAAAGACAGCTGAGAAAGCTAGAGAAAATGAGACAAGATGGCAAAACACCATTGTATAGGGATTGTCCAATGAGCAAACTGGAAGTCGACATCATGCTGTTAGAGTTCAAATCGACAAACGGATTGAACGATAAAGGCTTTGATCAGTTGTTAGGTATAATAAGGAAAATGCTCCCAGAAAAAAATGAGTTGCCAGAAAAGACATACTTGGCCAATCAAATGATCTGCCCCATCGGCCTCGAGGTTGAAAAAATCCACACGTGTTCCAATGATTACATATTGTACCGTGGAGAAAAATACAAAGACTTGGACAAGTGGCCCAAGTGTGAAGCTCCACGGTACAAGGAAGGGCCGTCACATGAGGGTACCAAGACTAGAGGAGGTTCCATAAAAGTCATTTGGTATTTCTCTATAGCTCTCCGGGTGCATAGGCTGTTTGCATGTGCAAAGTCAGCCAAGCTGTTGCACTGGCATGGCGAAGAGCGTAAGAAAGATACAATAATGAGGCACCCCGCCGATGGGCATGACTGGAGGACTATCAATAATATGTTCTATAAGGACATCGGTGGAGAGGTAAGACACCTTTGGTTTGCTTTGAGCACAGATGGGATGAATCCTTTCGACCAGGTTAGAAGCAATCATAGCACCTGGACAGTGATGCTCTGTATATACAACCTTCCACCTTGGGTCTGTATGAAGTGGTCGTACATCAAGATGCCACTACTAATCCAAGGGTCAAGACAACCTGAGAATGACATCGATGTGTTTCTAGAACTAGTGATCGATGAACTAGTGGAGATGTTTGAAAAGGGTGTGCTGGATGTTTGGGATGAGTACAAAAAGGAATATGTCACGATCAAGGGAGTACTTATCGCTACAATCATCGACCTGCCAGGTCGAGGTTCGTTGTCCGGAGAGAAGACAAAAGGCTATACTGGATGTGTCGAGTGCTTGGGCAACACCTATACGGTAAATCTGCCAAATAACTCAAAGATAGTTTATATAGGACACCGTATGTTCCTACCTAAGGATCACCCTTACCATAGGAACATAAAAGATTTCAACGGTACTATTGAGAAACGCTTAGCTCCAAAATATCGAGACGGGCCTTCGATACTTCGAGAACTCAACAAACTGGAGGGTGTCCTTGGGAACGGGGACAATGCAGTAGCAGCGCCTGATGGGAGCATTTGGAAGAAAAAATCTGTATTCTGGAAACTACCTTACTGGCCATTTCTGAGTGTACACCACTGTCTTGATCCCATGCACATCACTAAAAACATATGCGCTAACACTCT